GCAGGTGAGGAAGCGGCTGGGGCTCCACCTCCGGCATCAGTCGCAGGGGCCTCACCTGTGGTCCGCAGAGGATCACTCGCTTCGCCTCCTGGAGCGGTGCCGTCCTCGGTCATCCTCTTCTCCTTCGACAGTCAGGCGGCGTGGGTGCGGTTCTCTTCGCGAGCTGCTGAGAAGGAGGCGGAGGCTTCGGCGAACAGCTCTTCGGCTGGGACACGAACGCCGGACTGAAAGATCTTCTTACGCGCCTCACTATGCTCCGTGTCCTGGGGAAAGATTTCGTATTTATCCATGCCCGTGGACAAGTCGCCGTCCAAAGGAACCCGAGATCGTCGCCATCCTCGACCAGAGATTTGGAACTGAGCAAATTGGGCTTGGGCTGGGCGGCCTTGTGCCCGCAATCAACTTCGCCAAGGACCCGGAGGACCAGCTCACGGTAGGTTGACTCGTTGGAACCGAGCCCATCCCCCAGCGATTTGATGCGATCCTGGAACGTAGCGACCTCCTATCACAACTTATCCAACTCGCCCAATTCACGGGATAAGCGCTTCTCAGCTTGCTTGATCTCAGACTGGGCCTGTGCAGCTGTGGCGTGTGAGCTGCACGTCGACTCGGCCTTGGGGCGATAATCCGCGTCGATTTTCCGCATTCTCAGCACAGTCGGACTGGTCTTGCTCGGCGGTCACGATGGTTAGCATCCCCAAATCCTCGGACGAGAGCCCATCGGTGCTGAGCTTGCCCTTGGTTGGTAGTACAGGCCGGGTCTGCCACGCAGAACCCTAGAGGTACCGACGGGTCCTGGAGGAAGACGCAGCAAAGCAAATTCGCCAACATACTTGCGACCATGCCCAAACCACGCACTATCGTCAACAGACTCGGCGCCGAGCGCCCACGGAACCTTGCAGCGCTTGCACCACCATGTGATGGTGTTTTTTCTCGTCCACAGCTGCCACATAGCCACAAGTTCCTCTAGATTGGGGGCAGCTGGTCCATCCAAGGGTAACCCATGGCGAGACTGGAATGGTGCAATACGTGATCATGAGGGAGAGGTCCCCGACAAGAGTGTCAACGAAAGCTTGGCTCGCAATAGCAATGCCGTTCTGAATCTCGCTGCTGCAGGCTCTTGCCCGAAGACTCAGGAGCGCGAACGGCTGAAATGGAGGAGGAAGACGAGACGGGGATGAGCAGCGGGAGGATGAAGGACGGAATAAGGGGGGAAATACTAAGAAGGAGGCACGCAACACCTGCGGCAACGCCTGCACCGTAGGCGTGGCTGGCCAAAAACGACGGGTAAAGAGCAGGCGCGGCTGGCCAGAAATACCGGGTAAAGAGAGCAGTTCGGGGGACCGCAACTGGGCGGACATAACGTCAAGTCATCATCTGAAACTTGGAGTTGTCATCGCGACTCCGAGAGCGGTCACGCCACCCCCTGCCTGACAGTAGCCTCCCGCTCCTGGGGTGGAGAGGCCCGCAAAGCACGCGCTGGACGCTGCGCAACTAATCCCGTGGCCGGAGCGAGGGGTTCCCCGTGGCACTGCCGCTGGAAGGGATCACCACGACCTCCGAGCCTCCGTGCAGGCATGCGCCACACCCTCCGCAGCACGTGGCCCTGCCCTTCCGAACCGCGCGGTGGCCCAGAGCAGCGGAAGCCGCGAGACCTTCACGCCGACGGCGCCCGCCACCTCGGCAGCCACAAACGGGGGCTCGCCTCGGGTCCGCGGGCAGCGTCGGCGGCGTCCAGGGCAGCCTGCCTCGACTTCGGGCGACGCGGCGGAAGGATCAGGCCAGACTGGTCGAAGTGCGGCGGGTTCCATGTCGTGACGACCCTAGCGTTGGTTTCTGACACCACGCGGATGGTTCGACCTCGAACGGCTGGCGGTTTTCCGATGGCCAGGTCGCTCCACGTTGGCCGAATCTGGGCAGCTGGCGGCGTTCGACCTCGAACGCCCACGGCGGGGTCGCTGCCGCGTCGACGCGCCACGAGCCTACCGTACTGATGAGCGTCACTCGTCCATGCACTCCTCCCATCTCCTCCTCCTCCTCCTCCTCCTCCTCCTCCTCCTCCTCCTCCTCCTCCCATCTCCTCCTCCTCCTCCTCCTCCTCCTCCTCCTCCTCCTCCTCCTCCTCCTGGGAGCCAGAGAGCAAGCTCGTGAAAGACTTGTCCATGCGAGCCCCTGCGCAGCACCGCCAGCTGCGCCGCTCGGCCCAGGAAGACGACGAACCACACAACGGTGCAGCGTTGGAGACGCAAACTGGCGCCCAGGGCGCGGAGGATCCACCGACCCCCACCTTGGATGACAGCGCAGGCCCAGTTTGGTGACTCGGCGATCTGCCCATGCCACACACGTAAGCACCAAGCTGCTTGGCGTGATGCCGCTTGGCAGACATGCTCTCGCAGCTTGCCGAGGACACACGCGACGCTGCTCAACGCCATGGCGCGCAGAGAGATCTGCCGAAGCACTGCCAGCCCAGGAGCGCAGTGGTATTCCGCGCCGAAGGCCTCGGCGGCCGATATAATTGAGCACGCGCCCGCTCGAAAGGCAGGACGGGGCTTACCTGATTCGGCTGCACGCGAGAGGAGAAGCAAACCTGGGCAAGAGTGACATTTGGTGCGTGGCTTCAGGAGGCCTCGGGGGGGGGGGGTAAATCCGAGCGCGCCGGCCAGTGCTGGAGGGACCCCTTGTGGGCCCGCAGCGAAAGGTCACTCTTGCGTGCCGCCGGCGGATACGCTCTGGACGCTAAAGATGCTGCTCAAAGTCGACGCGCGTGTGGCAGTAATGCTGGCCTGTCCCTTGAGTTCCCCCGCGAACGAGCGCGCAAAGATTACTTGCGAAGAACCAGGTTGGAAAGTCTTTGGCCGAACCCTCGTGAATGCGGCCCCACTGACCGTATGAATTCCAGGAAGAGGGTCGAACATGGTTGGCAACATACTGAATTAACCAGACAACTTCAAACTTCCACCAGCACTCTGGATTTGAGTGGTTTATCGAGTTTCCTCTTCCATCTTCACCCTCAGGGCTTATCATTGATCTTCCTGAATATTCACCCCCTCCTCCACCCGTCTGGGCCAACCCGAAACATGCCCCCCCCACCCCACCATCCCTGTCAAACAAAAACAATCCAACATGCACTTTGCCTCCAAATCTGGAACATGCGCGGGCGCCCCGCGACCATTCTGCATTGGTTTGGGGGCATAATTTGCATTGGTGATTTGGTAAGGACGGCGAGGGTGCGGTCATATTGCTCGCCGCGCTCAGGCCAAACCATCCTTTTCAACAAAAACAATGCAGAATGTACTTCGCCTCCACATCTGGAGCATGCGCGGGCGTCCCAAGACCACTTTGCATTGGTTTGTGACAACGACGGCGGGGGTGCCGTCATATTGCTCGGTGCGCGCAGGCCAAACCATCCCTGTCAACAGAAACGGTACACAATGCACTTTGCCTCCACATCGGGAGCGTGCGCGGGCGCCCCGCTACCATTCTGCACTGGTTTTTGAGAAGGACGGCGGGGGTGCCGTCACATTGCTCGCCGCGCGCAGGCCAACCATCCCTGCCAAATAACAAAGCATCATGCGCTCTGCCTCCACGTCGGGAGCAGGCGCGGACGCTCCGCGACCCTCGCTGCATTAAGTTTTGACAAGGACGGCGGGGGTACTGGCATATTGCTTGCTGCGCGGAGGCCAACCATCCCTGTCAAATACCAATACACTAAGTCACTGTGCCTCCACATCTGGAGCGTGCGCGGGCGACCCGCGACCGTCTTGCATCGGTTTTTGACAGGGGCGGCAGGGGTGCCGGCATCTCGTTGAAACGTGGGGCGCGTGCGCACCTGGCGCGCCTGGCCCGCTTGGGCCTCCGGGGTGCCTGCTGCACCTGGAACCCCGTGGCGCACATGGCATGCGTGGCGCTCCTAAGCAATGTGCTGAGACCCCCTCGGGTGCTGCTAACGTGCTGGGACGGCGGGTGGGGGTGAGCGAGCCGGCTTGCGGGCGAAGGGGGGGCCTCGACCTCTCCACCTGCCCCATCCTCCTGGACCTGGGCGAGGGGGTCGCGGCCAGTTAGAGCGTCCAAGATGGCCTCGGCGAGAAGGCGCAAGCCATTCATCTTACGAACATGTTGGCCGCTGGGGCTGAATTACTACGGCCCCGCCTTTGATCGATCTCCTCCAAGCTGGCCCCAAGATGGTCCCCGAGGCTCCCGACGGTGCCCCAAGACGGCCCCCGAGGTACCCAGGAGGCCCAAATAGGCCCCCGAGATGCCCCCAAGAGGCTCTCATGAGAACCCCAAGAAGCCCCAAGGGGCCCCAAAGGCACCCGAGAGGCCCCCCGGGACTGCCAAGATACCCCCCAGGACGCTCCGAGAGGGCTCCAAGAAGCTCTCGAAAGACATCCGAACAGTCTCCATCCAAGAGGCCTCTGGCCTTTCTGCTCGCCTTCCTCCTCCTCCTCCTCCTCCTCCTCCTTCTCCTCCTTTTCCTCATCCGCCTATTCCTCCTCCTCCTCCTCCTCCTTCCTCCTCCCTCCTCCCCCTCCTCCTCCTCCTCCTCCTCCTCCTCCTCCGATTCCTCCTCCGCCCTCCCCCTCTCTTGCGGTATGACGTCTTATCCAGCCCATTATTCCACTGCATGCTCGTCCATATCCCTGATCAGGCAAAATCGTCGGTGCATCGTTTCTGGATGGGCTGTTGGGGCTACGCGAAGCGTCTAGAACAGATATACCGCACCGTGTCGCGTCAGCAAGAGATGAAGCGAGCCTGGTGTGTACGATGTGTCGCGCCACTGGCACTCCGAGTCGCTTCAATTCAAAGTAGGTGTCTGGAACAGGCGCCACAGTGGACAGAAGGAGTGAGAGGAAGGCCGTTTTGCAGGTCAACGTCGTCCCCACTGCCTGACATTGGCCACACAAGCGCCAGAAGAGAAAGACGAGGAGGAGGAGGAGGAGGAGGAGGAGGAAGAGGAAGAGGAGAAAGAGGTGGAGAAAGACGGGGGCACGCCGACAGGCGTTCGGGATAGTTGTCGGCGTGCGCGATGAGACTCTGTTTGTAGCCCGCAGCGACCCAACGGATGTGGTCGCGCTTGAGCGCCCTGAGCCTCTCGAGCGTCAGCGTCTGGTGAACGCAGATCGTGATGCTCGCGTCGTGCTCCTGGCAGGCCCGCGGACGGGAGGAACTGCCACAGCAGGTGGAGGAAGAGAGGACGAGCACTCGGCGCATCAGCCGAGGACGAGGAGGAGGGGAGGGGGGGGGGAGACGGGGAGTGGGGGAGGAGGGGGAGGAGGAGAGGAGCGAGGGAGCCCTTCGCTGGTAGCCGCGGCCTGCAGGCGGCGCACGGCTTGCCCCCCCCCGGGGGCGCGCCCCCCCCCCCCCCCTTGGCCCGAGGCGTGGGTAGGGGGCCACATGCGCACCCTACCCCTACCCCCCCCTACGATTTCTGGGGGGGAGGGGAAGTCGTGGGGGGAGGGGGGTAGAAGGCTCGCACGTGGCCCTCTCGTGGGGCGGCCTGCGCGCCGCGCCGCGGCTCCTCGGCGGCAGCGCCCCCCCCTCCCGGCGGCCTGCCCGCCGCCGGGCGTGCGGCCGCCCGCCGGCGCGGCGGGGCCGCCGCGCCGCTCCCCGCGACGCCCCCCGGCGGGCGGCGCCGCGCTCTCCGCGCCCGCGGCCGACCCCGCGGCCGAGCCCGCGGCGGCCCCCCGTCGCTGGCGGCCCGCGGCGGCGCGGCCCGTGCCGTCGGGCCGCGCGCCCTCGCTCGGACCTCCTCGCGGCCCGCTCGCGCGCTGCTCGCGCCTCCCCCCCCCGCCCCGTCGAGGCGGAGGCGGAGGAGGAGGAGGAGGAGGGAGAGGAGGAGGAGGAGGAGGAGAAGGAGGAGGAGGAGGAGGAAGGAGGAGGGGGGAGGAGGGGGAGGAGAGGAGAGAGGAGGAGGAGGAGGAGGGAGGAGGAGGAGGAGGGGAGGAGCAGGGAGGAGGGGAGAGGAAGCCCCGCTCCCCCCCCCCCCCCGCAGCAACTGACGACCCTGGGCTTCGCCTTCGCCTCCCTCCCGCGCTGCCGCTGCCTCGCCCCGTCGCCCGCGCTGCCGGCCGGGCGCTGCGCCCGGCGGGCAGCCGACGGCGTCGGGCGCGGTCGCCGCCGCCCCGCCGCCTGCGGCCGCTGTGCGGCCACGCAGCTGGGGTACAGTCGGGGCGTTGACCTAAGGAACCCTAAGTAAGGAACGGGGCCCCCCTTTTCCATAAGTTGAACTTCGATTTCCGATCTAAGACCGAAGGTAAACCCGAGGAGCACTGTGAAACAACGAAGGAACACGGAGCCCCTCCCAAACGAAAAGGGTTCCTTCTTCAGCGCCCCGACTGTATCCCGGCCGTGCCCGTGCGATGCCTGCACGCGCGAGCCCTCCTTGCCCTGCTCGCGCGCGCGCGCTTCGCGCACGGGCTGGCTCCGCACGGACGGCACGGCTCAGTCTCTCCGCACTTTTTTTTGTTCTGGCAGCCACGACCCTGCCTTCCCGCAGTCACGCGCGTGATTATGTTCCTTGCGCGGCTGCCACCGCTCGTTTTCAATTAGTTCATTATTATCATTGTTTTTCACGCGCGCTCGGGTACTTGTCCTGCAGTGCTGCCGCTGTCAACCGTTCTCTCGCGCACTGGTAATGTCTCCTTGAAGGTACCGCGGGGGTAGAACCGGGTTCGCCGGGATGACCTCGCGACCGTGGTTGGGCGGTCCACACTGCATCACGTGCGATTGCGACTGACATCTGTAAGTCCACCACAGCGAGATAATTAGAATGGCGTAAACCAGCCCAGCTCACCCTTGTACTACACGGCGCGTGCAGACTTCGCACGCGTCAGCCCACTTTGCCACGTTCATGCACAGCTTACCCCCTGCAATCGTGAGAGTCACGTGCCCCAATTTCTCGGAGGAATCATGGCGGTGCTGCTCGAGACTGCCACCGTCCGTCACTCTTGCATGTACATGGTCCTTTCGATGATCCTCAGAATCGGAGTTCTCGACAGCGTTTGCTTTTTCCCGCTGAGCCCCTTCTCGGCGGTGGACAAGCCTCCCTGTTGTAAACCTCCATTCAATAAAAACGGCCTAGGACCGAAACCCACGAACCTGGACCCGCGAAAATGACGGCCGCGACACCCTCTCGCGAACCGAAAACGGCCAATTCGCTAATCGACGTGTCAGGGTAGGAGGCCTACCAACCTCCGACCTTCAATACGACGCAGGCGATGTGAGGAGGGCCGCGACGGTAAGCGTGCCACCGGTCGAGCTTGACGAGGTCAGCAGTTTCAGTCTTGGGTCGGGCATGTCCCCCCAAAGACGGATTTTGGATGTTAAAGAGGCCCCAGAAATCTGCAAACTGGCTCAACAATATACAGGCGGATTTTGGAAGAAGAATGAAACATACCCCAAACACATGCAAAACATACTCACCAATACTAAGCATCGTCCCCAGACTATTTTCTACTATTTTTGAGTACTCCTCCTGTAAAAGGACAGGCCCGACTTAAGTTTAGCCGCAGCGGCGCGGAGCCGCGCCGCGGTCGAAGGCAGCCGAGGGGCGCACCGTGGGGCCCACGTGTACTTGGGCACAGCAGGAGGAGGAGAGCCCACGTGCATAACTGGGTACAGCAGGAGGAGAGACGCGGGGGCGCGGGGGGGGGGGTGAGGCCTCCTCCTCCTCCGCCTCATCCCCCTCCTCCTCCTCATCCCTCCCTCCCTCCCTCCCTCCCTCCTCCCTCCCCCCTCCTCCCTGCTCCCTCCTCCCTCCACCCTCCTCCTCCTCCTCCACCTCCTCCTCCTCCTCCTCCTCCTCCTCCTCCTCCTCCTCCTCCTGCCTCCTCCTTGTCCTCCTCCTCCTCCTCCGCCTCCTCCTCCTCCGCCTCCTCCTCCCGCCTCCTCCTCCTCCTCCCTCTCCTCCTCCTCCTCCTCCTCCTCCTCCTCCTCCTCCTCCTCCTCCTCCTCCTCCTCCCCTCCTCCTCCTCCTCCTCCTCCTCCTCCTCCTCCTCTCCTCCTCCTCCTCCTCCTCCTCCTCCTCCTCCTCCTCCTCCTCTCTCCTCCTCCTCCTCCTCCTCCTCCTCCTCCTCCTCCTCCTCCTCCTCCTCCTCCTCCTCCTCCTCCCTCCTCCTCCTCCTCCTCCTCCTCCTCCTCCTCCTCCTCCTCATCCTCCTCCTCCTCCTCCTCCTCCACCCTCCTCCTCCTCCTCCTCCTCCTCCTCCTCCTCCTCCTCCTCCTCCTCCTCCTCCTCCTCCTCCTCCTCCTCCTCCCCAGGGCGGAGCACGCGCAGGGCATGACAGCCATGATGCGTGCGTGCGGGAGCGCGGCACGCACAAGCGGCAAATGGGCTCCCAGGGAGTACGTCGGCCACTGCTCCGGGCTCCGTGGCTTTCTCCAAGGGGGCCAGGAACGCGGGGCCCAACCCTGGGGTATACAATGGGGGGGACGTAAGACCCGGGTACAGGGGACTCGGAAATCCCCGACGAGGTCGTCAAAAAAATGAGGAGGCCGAGCCTACATTTTGACGAGGCCTCCCGCTGCAGACATCCCACGAAACTCCTCCTCGTCAAAATCCGAGGCGCGGTCGTCAAAAAACGATGGCGAACCCGAGTCCTGGCAAACCCGGGTCTTACGCTCCCCCGATACAATGGGGGGGGCGTCCATCTTCGACATGGGTGCGTCCGAATAGCCACGTGGGGGTGCATCCCAGGGTTCCTCTCCTTTTCTGAGCGGCCTCACCTTTCGTCGAACAGCCGGGTGTGGGGGGGGAGAGAAAAGCCGCCTGCGAGATGTGGGAACCGACGAGATGAGCACACCTGGGGCCAATTACACAGCGCTCGCCCTGAGGGATCATCGGCCCTTCCTCCTGGGGCTGCCCTGGCACTCCCTGCTGAGGCTGCGCTTCCGTGCGCCCCCACGCGCGCCGCCGAGGGCGCAACGGGTCCTCACATGTGAAGGGGCCCCAGGACACACAAATAAATATAAAAAATAAAAGTATCCCCCACATTTTCCCATATTCTCTGGGTTTCTGTCTTCCCCCCCAATTCCCATAGTTTCCCATATTCTCTGGGGGATCGACGATTCATTGTGTCCGTGTGTTTTTTTTTTCCCTCCGGAACATGGTCGAGCCACTCGGCCCTGCCACCTGAAATCTGACAGTGCGGAGGGCGGAGACTTTCTGGGCGGGTGCTTCCGTGCGCGCCTGTCCTCCAAAGCAAGGGCTGGATCGAACCAAGAGATCGAGTCGGATCGGAAATGGGTCGGATCGCCGGCGAATCGCCCCGAATCGGATCGAAATCGGATCGCCGCGCCAGGCTCCGGCTGGCACCAGCCGGTGCTGCTGGCGAAAGGGGCCGAATCGAGTCGAGTCGGAATCGCGGCCCCAGCTTTAGGTCGGGCGTGTCCTCCCACAGGCGGATTTTGGACGAAAGCGAAACATACCCAAATATCCAAACATATACCAGAAAGAAGCGAAAAAACACCACCGTACGATTTTTTGAGTATTTCTGAAGGTTCCTCCCGTGAAGGGACATGCCCGACTGAACCCCAGCTGGCGAATCGAACCGCATCGCATCGAATCGTACGCGTCGGGGGTCTGCTGCTAACCCGGGTGAATCAAACCCGGGTCAGCAGGAAACTAAAAAACTGAAATGCAAGAACAAAAAAAAACTACAGCGCAGGGCTTCGCAAACCCGGGTCGGCCAATAGGCGCGGCCCCCTCGCGGCCACGAGCGGCTCGCTAAAACCCGGGTCAGCCAGAGGAAGTCTTCGCAGGATCCTGCAGGATCCAGTGCCCTGGCTGACCCCCGTTTGCATTGACCCCCGTCTCTTGAGCCCCGACCGTTGTCCGACCTCCGCGTTCTGGCCCCGTGGACTTCCACCTCACCGTGCACGCCCTGCACTCCGTCGTGCGCTCCCGGCACCCGCGCAAAAGACTGCATGTTCTGAGGGCGGCCTCCGCTCCACGCGGGCCACCCTCTTCTCTGTCCTCGTCCTCCTCGTCCTCCTCCTCCTCCTCCTCCTCCTGCTCCCCTCCCTCCTCCTCCGCCTCCTCCTCCTCCTCCTCCTCCTCCTCCTCATTCTCCGCCTCCTCCTCCTCCTCCTCCTCCTCCTCTTCCTCCTCTCCTCTGCCTGCTCCTCCTCCTCCTCCTCCTCCT